GGAAAAAAAGAAGTAAAAAAAAAGGGAAAAAAAGAGGGAAGGTAGAGGCAACACAAGCTGGAATAAGTGAGTTTTGCCTGGGGACTTTCTCCCCGCAGGGCAGGGTGCTCCGGACCCGCTTTGGTGCTGCAGCTCCTGGCCCCACAACCCTTGCAAGGGGCTTCAAGCCCCAAATCTGGCCCTAATGCTCTCTATTTTTCCTTCCTACATGAACATTGGAATTAAAAATGGTGATAGCAAAAGTCCAAGGTATATATACTACTCTGCAGGAGTAGTACTCATTTCACATCCTTGCTAAACAAAAATAGCTGTGATAACTGACCTTTTTTTTTTATTTTACTGGAAAATTATTGGGGTAAAGCTTTTCTGCTATGCTGTTATTCTATTTTTCATATTCTCTGCCTGTAATTTTTGAAGACCCTGCTGTATATTTACGCAGGTGTCTCTAACGTCCATGCAGACCCTCGGACAACAGGCCACGGCCTTTTATTCTCGAGATCCCCTGCGGATGCACTTACCCAAAATAGAGCTCCGGAGGCTGGAGTCACTGTGAACGGCTGTGCAAGGAGGCTAAAATCCCATTTAGGAGGTTGCTTCTTCAGGAAACTGTGCAAACTGCCCATTAAGAGCAGCTCTTGACCCAGGGGCCACATGAAGATGCAGATGTGGCACCTCCCTGTGCCATATGGCCACCAACTGCCACCACCCTTGTCCCTGTGCTCTACTTCATGGCAGAGTCGGGGATGGATGGGAAAGCGAGACATTCCTCATGTGTCCTGGCTGCCCGAGCAGTGACATGAGACACCTTGAGGAAAGGACGGGCTGGCAGGCCCGCGTGGTTCCTAGGTGTGATGTTCAGGATCCGTCTGTGGGATTGTTATTACTAACGCTAACACCATGAGGTAACTCCTCGGCCTTCCGTTCCCTTACAGAAGCGGTTCCCGACAAAAAAAAATATGTGTATGGTCCATCTTAAGAGCAGGTATAATGAATATCACATATTATTGCTATTATTACTTAGCAAACTAGCAGTTTGTAGCAGTTACTCTACTTCTGTTCTGAACAAAGAATATCATTTAGAGCATCCTTACTGGGTCCTAATGGCACTTGAGATGGAGGAGATGCCGTACATTAGTTCTAGTCCTCCATCAGACAATGATACCCTGGCACAAGGAGCTGCCTGGCAAGAAAAACTGGGTTAAATTCTGCAAGAATGTGCTACTACCCTTCCCAGTGTGGCCAAGTGCTTTTGCCTTCCCAAACCAGGCAGTTTCCAGCACCTCTGATGTGGCAGAGACCTGTGTCTGCTCGCGGGTGGAAAAAGGAAACTTCTGCTGAAGTGCCAACAAGCCCTGGAGCACGAGAGGCAAAAGCTTGCACCCATGGCAGCTCCTTCCCATCACCTAAATGCTTCTGCTGTGTCATTAGCACTGCAGCTTTTAAAGATTAAACCTCTGGTATGAAGCGAGGCACACTAGGGAACCTCACCTTTTCCAGCGTTATTAGCTTAATTTCGTGAGCTTTCTCCTTTGTGTATATTTGAGCCTTGTTGCCTCAAAAATCTCTGTGCTGTGAGAGAGGGGAGTGAGAGGGTTGATGGAGGTGCTTTCAGCACAGATTAAGCATTTGGATTAGGAGAAAGAACAGATTCCCAAAATTGATCGCTGTGACCCAGATTTTCATTTAGAAATCCTCCATTTACCTTCACCTGGGGCCTCTTCAGCCAGTTCTTCTGTTTGAGCCTATAGGCCCTCGAACATCAGTTGGAGAACAGTCTAAAAAACATTTGAGCAGATTCCTGAAATGTCAAAATTATACAGAAAAATAGACTCAGCCAAATTAAACTCAACAGGAAGCCTAAGTGTGACACAAATATCACATGGGAGGACAGCATGGGGCTCACTATGCTTACAGGTGAGCACAGATTAAGTTCATTTTAACAACATTGAGCTAGTGTTCATCAGCTTCCTCCCTTTCTCTATGCCTTTCTTTAAATAAGGTCCATGGTGAGGGAGATTTCTCTTTTAAAATACTTCTAGAACTCATTTCTCTGCCTCACTTTTGATGTTCTTCAGAAAGCTTTTCAAAGCAAGCAAGTGACACTAACAGGTCCTATCAATCACCACCAGCAGAATGCTCTGCTACCTCCAGTAAGACGCAGCTTTATTTATCATCAAAAAATATATGGCATCCCAAATCAGCAGTTGCTAGGCTATGAGTGTTGCATTACTTTATTCATTAGGTTTAGTAACTGTATTTTTTAGACATGAGTGAAGTAAACTGACAAGGAGACAGACAAATCGGATGAGATGAAAACTCAGATAAGAGCGTAGTGGAACATACAAAGATAATATTTTTTAAGGCTTTGTGAAAAATGTTCCCTATAAAAGGGAACTGGCAAAACTTGTCTCACTGCCAGTTTTACAACTGATGAAACAAATCTTTGCAGCTTTTTCTATAAAGCAAAGCTTTTGAAATATTTCCCCCTGTTTTAGGGGAATTTGAGAGGCTTTGATTGTCCCTCTAAAGCTCGAAAGCACTTTGCCTGGTTATTACTGCCTTTCCCTGATGTTCTACCCATAGACATATAATAAACTTCAGTGCTTTTGTTACCAACTTTGTACTCTATGTTTATAGAGAGTAGTTTCAGAGCAGTGAAAACAAGAGCCTCACGTAATGCCCAGGTTACAGGGTGAGCTGGGGACCCATATCTGGTATGCATGGAAAGGAAAGAACATATTGAAGAAAGAAAAAGTGAAAAACAAACAAAAAACCCAAAAAAATAACAAACAAACAAACAAAAAAACAACTTTCCAAACTCCTTTCTAATTTCCTAGTACTTGAGAAAACAGGAAAATCCAGGTACCACTGTTGGATAAGAGATGTGGGGGGGGTGGTCCCTGCTTCTGGGGTTAGTGCACATTTCTGCAGACCCAGGCAGGGACAACACTGAGATCTGGTGCTGATCCCTTTGATCATGAACATAAAGGAGTTTTGCCTTAGGAAACCTTGTTTTCTATACCTGTTTCTAAATCTTGACTTAAATTTGGGTCTTTAAAAGTGACTTCACATGTTTTTGGTGTCCGCATATATTATTATACTAAGGAACAGTACTGGAAACCTGCTTTTAGCAGCTAATACATTTGGAAATAGTGCATCATGGAAACATCAGTAACTGGAGACTTGCACTTGGCAGTCACCTCGGTTGCTGGCCTGCAAGCTGAGAAGCTATCGTGGAATTTCAAAAACGAAACCAGGAATATTTGATCCAGTCATTTTTCTTGTGAAATAAACCTAGGATACAAATTGCTTAGATGGGCCTAAAATTATTACTGCTATT